AAGCTGATGTTTGTGGTATTAGCCCGGTTTGTTCACATTCAAAAAACCCTATGCAGGTAATATTTCCCTAGCACCACGCCAACTAACAGGAACTCCAGCCTGTACATGGTTAAATAAGCAACAACTGTATCTCCAAGTTCCTGCATTACTCTTTTATTTCATTACTCTTTTCCTCATGGAAAAGCTGGGCAGTTCTGTTTCCCAAAACCGTGACTCTTGCAGTCTTTTCTGCAGCTGCTCAGTGCAGCCCAACCTACCTGCACTGCAGTCAACAGCAGCATGAAATACTTCCCTTTGGAGCCTTTCCATTGAGTTTAGGCAGCGATTTAGCACACTGTGGCAGGGCTGATATCTTTCCTGCTCCCACAAGCTCCTGTAGAAGCTAGGGAAAGAAAACTGCAAATTAGAAACAAATGCTTTGAACCTTTTAAGTGGTAGAGCCTTGTTTGAGTTTCTCTGCCTTGTGAGATCATGGTCCAGGTGTTCAAGAGGTACCAGCCCCAGATCGGTGAATAAAATGATAGGTGAACCCCCGAGGATGCTGTTCTAGTGTTTTGCAGTGAGTTGGTTGTTAGCCATTTGTTTTGCTCATTTGGAGCATGATTTTCCTGGTGAGTCATTTCTAAGGGAGTCTGTTGGGCTCTAAAGAAACAAAACAAATTGAAAGGGACTGACAAACATATCTGCTCTGCAACAAAGAGCATACAGCATTTCAAGGTGACCTGTACCTGGCTGCCTAGCTTTGTTTTTCAACTGTAGAAGATATACATAAAAAATACCTGTAAAACACCTAAGGCAGGTGACTGAAATACGTCAGATAAATTGATTTTAGCACTGATTTGCTATTCCTTCTTTGACCATAAAAGGGATCCATATTTCCTCTGATGGAGGTCTTAATGTTGTAGACATCTGAGTCTATGGGTCTTTCGGAAAACCTACTTCTAGCCAAAAAAGCAAACAGAAGCCTGTTCCTCTGGGAAGGAATTGTGCTTCATTTCACATCATAGCATAAGCTGAGGATGCATGAGTAGAAAGTTATTTGAGCTTTTGCAATAAAGGCTTCAGTTTTTCATTTGTGAATTAACTATCTTAGCGGGAAGCAAATTATTCCAACAGCTCCCATACTCCTAAAATTAATCCTCCTTTAAAAATTAGGTGGATTTAAGATAATTTGCCTTAAAAACAACAGCTGCGACTTTTCAGGTTTTCAGAAAGCCTAGACAGCAACAGGAATTCTTCCATTTCTGGTGGCAGGTGAACTTAGCTCTCTCCTCTGTGTCTGGGGTATGACCAAAGCAGTGTATTTGACTAGGCAAAATTTTGAAATGGAAGAAACATGGAAGAGAACCAGCAATCCCTGACTCCCCAGGTGAGGATCTTACATTACGGTCCGTGCTTATTTGACATATGGCAAATCCTTTTTCTCAAGTCAGGGAAACCAGTTCTGAATCATGCTCAAGGTGGTCCCTGTCTTTTGGAACATGAGCCCTTATGGCTTGCGATCTACCCCAACAACCTCAAAAGTATTTATTTTCCCAGGCAGAGAAATATACAAGGCCCAAATTGAGCAACTTGCTGCAGTTTGTTTTCAAAATCTTTTGTCCTTCAACTCCCTCCGAAGGACACTTGCCATCATTGGATCAGGTTGGACCAAATTCTAAACCCATCTTTTAATCCTTACAGGAGTTCCTGGTTGTTTGATTTCTTGTCTTTTCCCATTATTCCTTTTCCGTCTATTATAGAAAGAAAAAGTCATGCTTATTATTCTGTTTCATTAGCATATTTTTCCTTACTATAATATGCATTTGATATGGAAATGCTACAGCTCAACAATTTGTTACAGATCACTAGTTTGTGGAACAAGAAACCTCTGGAGACAATCCTAGCAAGTGCCATAATGGACAGCAGAGAAAATGAGGCAAACGGTTGTAGAAAAATGGAGATGGAGAACAGATCTGGCTGTTACACAGCCTGGGAAGCATCAGTCTTTGTTCTGGGGTCTTCCCCTGTCTGACAACCACGCAGCCCAGTTTTTAACTGCAGTCATGTAGAGCACTTGGATGCAACAAACCCCACTGGGTTTAGTGCTGTATTTTCATGCATATATACCAGCAAATAATACAAAATATAGAAATAATATGTTTTTTGTTTTGTTTTTCTTTTCAGTACTGTGATTTGTAGTAAGTCCTCAGTGTCCTTAAATTGATGCTGGCTGAACACCCAGGGGATCTCCATCTTCTGCTACTCATGTGAAATCATGGGGAGAAATACAAGAAGCACAAAGTTTACTGGAGGATGGACCAGGCATACAAAGAGAGACTCTAGTATATTTATTTTCATGTTACATAGATACATAAAACCAGCTCTACAGCTGAAGCGTACGTTACTTTAACTGATAAGCCATGGTTTAAATACTTCAAAACACAGTAGTGTCTAAAAACTCTTCATATAAACTGAATGGAATTGTCCACTTGCTGTCATGATGTTTTTTTTCCACTACTGGACCTGGCATTAGATCTGAGTATCATTCATTGGCACTGCATGCAATTCTGTCCTTTAAGTGCTTCCTTGTAACACATTTCAAACTGTCCAGTTTTGTTCACAGCGCTGGAGCATTGCCCCCACTCTCCACACTTTCTGCTCACACACCTGCAGAGGGAAACAGAAGCAGAGAAATCAATAGACAGTTCTGTCAAGAAAGTCATGCTTGATTTCAAATAAATATATTTTCATCACATGGGACTACTTGAGGGAAAAGGAGTTGTTCTCTGGGATTTTTGCAACAGGAGTTTTTCTCAGACAGTTGCCAACATTTTTCAGCACTCAGCTATGAAAGCTGCTAAATATAAAAATAAAGAAAGGTCATCAGCTTTCATGACATCTCTGTTCATCTTCCTAGTATTTTTATGTTTGGATCCAGCTTCCAAAATTCATCGAGGTAAATATTAGAATGATAAACAACTGATGCATTGACCTTTTAGGAAGAAGAGCCTCCAGTGGGCACCAACTACTTTTTAGGGACAAAGTGTGTTGACTGCTTTCCAGAGATTTCCTCTCAAAAGCGAGGTGGCACTGAGCTGCACTGTCACAGGGAACTTAACTTAGAGCATCCAACCTCAAGCCAGCCCACATTTTTTCACTGCATTTATTTTGATTTTTAGCAGAATTTCAAATAATTTTGACGTCTCCCCCAGTAACATCTTCACAGAAGGTTTGACTTGGCACAAGACTAAATGCTTTCAGCTTTGCTTTTGATGTTTGGTTATGGGTGTCGCTTCTTTTGACTTATGACAAACTAAATGTGATAAAAAATGGTTTTAGGAGAAAAAAAAAAACCAAAAGTGAGTTCCTGGTCATTTGCTTCTCACAATTTCTGTTCTAAAGTTTCCCCATCCATGCACACTTACCCCCTTCACCCTTCCCCCCTTCTCACAAAACCTTCTGTCTTCCCTAGGAATAAAAATTTGGTCATTTTGTTTAAGGTGACACCAAATCTTTATCTTACAGCTTCTCATCCCAACCTTGACTGCAGGTCTGTGGGCTCATCTGCAAGGCAAGAGATGCATTTAACAACAGCCAAGGTTGCAGTTCTCCTGGGAAGAAGACAGCAGCATCACTCATGGATGGCTTTCTGTGCACCAGCACAAGATGCTGTCTGATCCTAAATACAGAAGATGCATTCAAAGAGCCACAAAGTCTTGCAAAGGAATGTCTCCATCATACGGTGGATGTGTGAGTATGTCAAATATACTGTCTCCCCACTGCTTTAGCTGGGTCTTTAGGATAGCAGAGAAGAAGATGCACTTCCAGTGTATAGAGCTAGGATAAGGAGTATAACCCCCTGAGCTCAGCTAGGGAGTTGCACAAATGATACACAGGGTGAGGGAGGAAGTCCCACTCAGTCTCTGCCAAGGTTGTCCCTGGGCAGCTCACAGGCAGCACCAGTGGCATGGCAATTCCAGTGGGAAAACACACTTTAACGTTTGGTGGAGGGAAATAGCATAATACAAAATTGTTTAGAATAGTAAATGTCACTGGTAAAACTGGAGTGTCCACTTGGGGGTGGCAAAGTATTTCAGCTGTGTCTTCAGGGAGCAGGAGCTGCCTTTTCTCTCCAGGGCCTTGTGTGTCTCTGTTACCCTCTCTATAGCCTGTTTCTCAAGATTGCAGCTGGTAAAATGGGTTTGTTAGAAAACACGGGCTAAAATTCCCTTTGTGTTGCAGCAAAAAGTGATTTGCCAGCTGCTATGGCAAGTCTTGCATCGCTCAGGAGTCCTGCAGTGAGAGGCAATAGATTTTGGGGCAAACAAGGTAAGAACCCATTGAGGCAGGAGTACGACTCCTTTCTTCTGTGATGGGAAATGTCATCTGGATCCCCAGTGACTAGACTGCAATAAGCCTTTATGCATACAGTGTATAATTTTTCAGGAACTAATGTTCTTATTCATTATGAAAACTCTGTGTACTCTGTGTAAGTCCCAGCCCCTTGATGACATACATTGGATGATTTGTTGTGGCAGTGCGTGCCAAGCCTCAGCCCAGTCTGGTGGCTAAATCTCTATCCCTGTGTCATGATTCACAAGGGAGGTGTTTCACTGAAACAACAAAAAGGTTTTGAAACTCAGGACACAGAGGTTTGTAAAATTCTTTGCCGTGTACCTGATTCATGCTGGCCCCCCTTTAGAGAACTCTGTAGGGTCCTGACCTGGTCTGCAGTCAGCAGAGCTCAGGAACTCATTAGCTTGGATGAAGTGTACTGTCTTCAGGATCTGTTTGCATGACTGGGATGGGGGAGAGTTTCTCAGACCTTGTGTTATGTTTTACAGCAAAACCTCAATTCAGTAGATGCAATATCACTGCAAAACTCCCCTTTTTTTAATGACCTTTGCTCAGCTTCTCTGAGCCTGAAGGTCTGTCCTGTTTCCATGTATTGTGAATGCTGTCCTGGCCTTTTCTTGGTGGCTGCTATCCTCACATAGATCTGACTTCTGCAATCCATCTGGTATGGGCAGGTGTGAAGTCTGCTGAAGCACTACCATAGGGCTTCACTGGTAGAGACAACATGTAAGTATCTGAAGTTCAAGCAATAAGTTCTTGCAAACTTCAGGACATGGGGGGATAGCAGGGACCTACCACAGTCCATCTGTACATGGTCAGAGTCGGTTTAGGCAGGTGGGCAAGAATAAAACTCTCTGATGTACAGGAGAAGCCTGAAAAAGGCTGCAGACTTTTCACATTCCCTGGACAGATATCCCTCACCAGCTGACTTTTGGGCAAAGGAGCCACAGCAGGAACATCCTCAGCCCCCCGTAGTGGCTATTTCCCAGGTAACGTAGGTGGATTTGGGGCACACATTTGCCATGTGAGCACTGTGTAGATATTGTCAGGCACAGTATGAGGAGATATGGCAGTGACTCTCAGACTTGGAAAAATAACCCACTAGAGGGTAGATTTTTTGACAAAGTGATTCAAGGCTTTAATCATGCCCCCTGCCCCCAAATCTTCACTTAGCTCAGAAAGTGGAAGTTTTCTTTACATTTATTTTACAGTTATTGGCTCCCTGGTTCTTCTAGCCCAGAAATAGCTACTGCTGGTGCTGTTAGCTGATGTTTCTCAGCCCAGCTCAGAGCTGCTCTTGTTCATGCCTACTTGGTTGTTGCCAAGAGATTCTTGCAAAAGCCCCACTCTCAAGAAGGTGGCAGGAGAGAGAGATGAGACTGGCTTGCCTAAAGCTAGAGTCGGGTAGACAAGGCTTGTGCAGCAAGTTGCCCATTTCAAACTAAATAAAACCTGTTTAGGCTAGTGCATAAAAAGCCATTCAGTAAAACATGGATAGGCTGTGTCTACCTCTTGGACTGGCAACATTGTGAGTGTATCTCATTTTTCTAAACCAGCTTTTTGCTGGCATAGCTTGCAGACAGTAAACTGAGATTTCCAGCCCTTCTATTAGCTTGAGGGTAATACAATGCTTCACCTGCTAATTACAGTCTCCTAGTTCATTCATTCAACAAGACACCTCTGTGATCTGCTCTTGCTAAAAGCAGTTGTTTTGGAGGGTGCCTTTTATTTTTCTTTCTTAGAGTAATTTTCTTTAACTTCTCACCTGGATCACAACAGTCACAGTCCAGTGGAGAGCTGAGAACTGCTGACAGATGTCCTGTGTGTGCCAGGGAGACTTGTGTCTTCAGCAGAATCCATGAGATTGTGGTCCTCAACCATGAAGATGTTCTGCTGGGCAGAAGTCTTGCTGGTGGAACGTTTAGGGGCCCAGTGCTTGCAGCAAGGAGAAATCACACTGAGGAAAGCCATCCTGAAGCGCTGGGACAACAGATTGTAAATGATGGGGTTCACAGCAGAGCTCAGATAGAAGAAAACACCTGGGAAATGAAGGCGGGGGGGGGAGAGAGAAAGACCTCATTTGTGTGTGAAATTATCTCAGAAGAGGAAAAGCTTTTAATTGCCTGTACTGCTCCACCAAGCCTGAATGCAAAAGTGGAGGCATTGATGGCAAAGGGATGTCTCACCAAGGCTAATGCAGGCACTGCACACAAAGGGAAAGGGAAATTGGAGAGAGTATTAGCTGGAGCTCACTATCTCCAGCTGTTCAGAAACCAGCTCTTGAGCTGTACTGCCCGGTCTCCAGCACAGCCCTTATGCCCACAGCACATTTGCACAGCTGGTCCCCCCCCATCAAAGCTGTTGGAGGATAACTTCCAGCTGAGAGGAGCTCATTTCTTACAGCACACCAGGACAATTGCAAACACTGGATTTGTCTGAGCTGCCTAATGGCCACATTTGAGTGTTTTCCTATGGCAGACTGAAAATAAGATTTCTTTTTGAAAAAGCCTTCATTTTATGGTTGGCAGGGGCATAAGCATTTGATTTTATCACCCAGTTCTGAGCAGCGTGTACATCTTTTGTCTTGCCATTTGGTAAGGTTTCCCATTTGCCTCAGAGACCCTCTAGAGGATGTTGCCTGCTGCTGTGTATTCATTAAAAGCAGCTGAATGACAGCAGACTTCATTTCTTTGTGAAGAATACAGACAACTGTATTGGAAAACTTGCCCAGACCTTGAAAGCTGCAGAAACTTGCACACAGTTTTTATTTCAGGCATAATTCTTATCACTGTCCCAAACCCCCAGAAGCTTTTCCCTGCATATCTCATGTCACCTGTGGCATAAATGACTACATATTTCAAGTAAACCGTTCACACAGAGGGTTTTTTTTTGCCAGCCCCTGTGCAAGTGGAAGAAGAAAGCTTTACCTGACACCACATGAATTAAGTTGAATATATTAGCCAGAGGCTCAGTCCATTCTACAACAAAGCTGAAGAAAAGTCGGTCTATGTGGAATGGAGCCCAGCAGAGAGCAAAAACCATCACAAGGACAACTAGAAAGAAAACAGGGGTGAAGAAAAACAAGTCAGTTTTGGAAGGATGTGGTTCACCAGCCTGCACAGAGCAGAGAGAATGTTCAGAATGCTGGAAGAAGATCATGTATACAATTTTTATTCTTAATTTGAAATCTTTTGCTATCCTTTCTGTCTTACTATTACCAGCTAAAAGAACAAAGTTTCCACTGATTTCTGCGTTGGATAACTCAGTATATGGACACACAGTGACATTCAAACAGAGCTGGCAACAGCCATGTAGTGCTGCAAACAGAGCCTAATGAAGAAAATGCTAGTGAGACATCAGGATTCATACATGGTACCCGAGACTAACCAACTCCATTGTGCCTTGAATTTAATTTCCTCTGCACACTATTTGTATCTCACATAGCATGATAAGGCCATAGGAACCATGTGCTGATAATGTCTGTCTGGGTGCATTGCTCAAAATGAAAGGAAGAGTTTGTCTCCATACACACCTTGGCCTGTGCTGGCTCTAGTAAGTACTTTTGCAAGTCCACTCCAGACTTGGGTCTTATGAATAACTGTGATTCCAGTCCTGGGGCACAGAAAATCAGGCTGACTTCGAAGTAAAATTTCTTAGTTCAGACAGTGACTTAGGCTGCCTAAAGAATAATGTTGTTGCAGGAAATATTGAAGGTGATTTATGTTTCCTGCATAAACACCCTCTCAGTAGAAAGGTGATCACTGCTTTAAAGGCAGCCCCTAAATCAGTAATTGACGTGAGTGTTTTCAGGGTGGTTGGAGCACAGATTTCTTCTGAATGCTGTACAATGCGCAAGTCTGCTGAGGTCCTACTTTTTCTTGGGAAGGTCTAAGTGGTTAAGGCAGCAGTAGGTGATGTATGTGGCTTGGCAGGACCTTCCTTGCTCAGGAACAGAGCTTGTGGTGTGACGCAAAACAGATGTATGACCTTCTTTAAAAATGAAAAAGATAGACCATTTGCATCCTGAAAAAGAGGGATTTTGCCAGAGGGCTGCAAGAGCCAGTCTTGGAGCGAGGGATATAGGCATCCGCCGCATAGGTTTGCTCAACCTTTTCTTGTGCTGGGGAGGAAAATTGCCTTCCTAGTCTTTTGCTAGCCATGGTGTTTCACTTTCATGCTCTCTAAGTCTAGATAGAACAGTAATAAGACTTTTTTTCTTTGTTAAATCACAGCTACTCATCTCGTAACTCTTGAATCCAGTGAATTTGCTTGCTACACTTCAAGACCTGGTAACCCTCTTGTCCATGGTAAATAAAACACAGAAGGGCTCATTACTTACACAACATCTTGGTAACTGATTTCCTGGATGGTCTCTGGACGTTCACAGCCATTTCTTCCACTTCCAAAGATTCGTCTCCTTTCAACTGGCAAAAGTAGGGAAATCAAAGGAAAGCTTAGACAGGAGACGACATCCCCACCAGGTATAACCTGTTTGATACTTTGATAGCTGTAGTTTGAGAATACAAAATATGGGGCAATTCAGGCCTCACTGAAAACAAAAACAAATCTACATTTAAATTTCAGTTTTAATTTAGGGAAACATTGAAGCTTTAGGTTGATAACAGTCTGCAGATTTTATGCATCTGAGGCTGCATAGTTACAGCAAATTTGTATTTCAGTTCCCCACTTGTCCTCTCAATGAATCAATATTTGGTCTGCAGTTTGTGTTCAGCTTCAACAATATTTTGCTAGGCATTATTTTCTCTTTTACCAAAATATTGTTTATTTTGCTTAAAACGGTTCCCCACAATTAAGCACAAATCAATGATCCAAAAAATACTCAGAAAGGCCTTAGTGAAACACAGCTGTAATCACTGGGAAAATTCCTGTAGCATTCAAAGGAGTTTGTTTCATGCCCTGAGTGTTTGGACTAATAGATATTCAATGCCACTAATGAACAAAGCCTATATATGCTCTCTTGCAGACAGCCGGTGTGTGTGATCTGCATGGATTCAGCCACCTACTGCTCGGTTACAACAAGGTGGGTTTTCTTGGCCAGTAGTTTTTCCTGTACTTCTAAAAAATGGACATAAAGAATAATAATCCAATCCTCCCTGAAATGTTTCCCCAACACACTTGCAGCAAGAGTACTGGTGCTTTGGCAATGAAAAGTCAAGTCTAGATAATCAGGACAATTGCTTTGATTACAAACAAAATCGCCTGTGGAGAGTGCATAATTGGACCCAGATTCCTGAAGTGGGAGCTTCTGATTAGCCAACAGATTTGGAGTGGTGTTTTTTTCAACTGAGAGAAATTGGAAACAAAACTTTCAATTACATGGAAAAGAATATCAGGAATGAGGGAAAACATAGAAATCAATCTGGATTTGTAAAAAGCCTGTGAAAACATAGAATCATAGACTATCTCAAGTAGTAAGGAGCCTGTAAGGATCACCAAGACCCAACTCCTTCTCCTTGCAAGAGCGTAGCTATACCTAACTTTACATAACTGCAAAAGATTTCAGTTGCTTTTAACATGATAGTTGTGCCATTTTCTTTTGCCTTTTACACTGTGACTTTGCTTCTCAGTTTTGATTCACAGTACTTCTCTATAAGGATGATCAAATAAGACCTTCTTTCACTGTCCTACATATTCATAAAACTCATAAAAGGGAAACACATGTAAATCAAATTATACTCAATTATAGTGCAATTCAGCCTCTCATGTTTTACATCATTTCCTTTGTAACTTTTATTCATAGTTGCTTAAGGAAGAGGCTCAGTTGATTTGAAACACATTTAGTGAGAAATGTCTGCTCATATTGATTAAAATCCCTAGCTTTCATTTAGTGGCTTCCAGTCTCAACAGTATTCTATTCCAGGCATATTCCAAAGCCTCATAGGCAGCTTGAACACAGCTGTGAAATACAGAACTCCTAGGGGAGCATCCCTTGTCTGGTACTTGTCTCCTCTGGGATGGGGATTAGGAATATCTGCTGCCACAGACAGAAGCTATTGCAATTTTCGAGACTTTTTTTCTATCAGTTTGGGGACTTCTCTTTTTCTTTTTGTAGCAGCTCTATTTTCAACATTTTTTTCCTCACTTCAGGTCTTATTTTAAGTAATTTTCAGTGAAACTGTGTAAAGATCCCACAAGAACCACTGGGCAGTGGGGATAATTTAGCCTATTCATTGCTTTAAAGATTGGCTGTGTGCTATGGCTTTCTGGCAGTAAATCCTTGTGGCTTTCTTGAGTAAGAAAAAAATGCTTCTGTATAGTTTCAGCCAGTGCAACAAAATGATATGTACACCAGCAGAGTTTTGCTTGAATTTCTTGCACAGCATTCAGTAAGTTTGTTTGTCTCTACTAGAATACTGTATCCCTTTCTTGCTATATGATCAGATACTGCTTTTTAAAGTTACATTCAATGCGATGTGATAGGATTTATATTCTCAAAATACATGTAATATAAGAGAAGAAAAAACTCACCAAGTAGCTATGATCAGCAGTGCATTTTAGTGTGTTGCTACATAGTTTTATAATACTATGATACTGATTGTTTTATTTGTGTATTTAGATAATGAATACTTGGTAAAACTAGTCTGACTTTTTGAAGAGAGAGTGAATATGAACTCTAAGGTAGCCTTAATCGATGGTGAAACTATAGTTATATAAAGAGATGATTGCTGAATTTACTAGTTGCAGCAATAAGGTAGCATTTCCATTTACAGCAGCTTTGTGAGTTATAACAACTGAATATTATCACCCTCTCCTGGGAAGGAGAAAAATAAAGTAATGCAATAGTCACAAGAAGAGAGAAAAGAAATAATACACAAGAATCAATCATTAGCCTGCTCCTTTCTATGCTTTTCAGATTTTCCTTTTGGTCTGTTTCCTTCTAGTCCCTATTGCAAAGGTGCAAATCTCTGGGAGGCTGGAATCAGTGTACTTACTTGAATGTTTAAATAACAGTCAAATGTGAGTAGCAGTGATGGTAAGTATTTTTTAAAAAGATTGGGGTAAATTATTCCCCAACATAGCTGTATTAATTTCAGAGCAGGATTACATCAAAAAAGGAGCTGGATCCACTGTTTTCAGAGGTTTTGAAATACTTTACAGGAGGAAAACAGGTGGACAAGAAAAAGGTGCAATCACTTAAAAGACACGTACAGACACAGACACTCGAGACTGAGCTAAGGAAACACTGAGCACAGTCAGAGTAGAACTTACTCTTAGACACATCAGATAGTACAGCACACTTATTACCCCCATAGGCAGCACATAGAAGAGAAAAGAAGTAATCTGGACAATACAGTTATAGATCCACATGGGCATAACTACAGTGCAGGTAGCAGAGCCAGGGATCAGGGTGCCGTTAGGGAAATACTGCAGCAGGATGCCATGGGTGCCTGTGTTGGGGAGGGCAAAGAGGACAGAGAGAACCCAAAGCACCACGATGGTCCTCAGGGCACGCTTGCGAGTGCTTTCCAGCTTGGCACGGAAAGGATGGAGGATGGCAATATATCTCTCCACGCTGACGGTGGTCACACTGAGGATGGAGGCAAAACACACTGTCTCAAAGAGTGCAGTCTTCAAATAGCAGCCAATGGGCCCAAACAAGAAGGGGTAGTTGCTCCACATCTCGTAGACTTCCAGTGGCATCCCAAAAAGCAGCACAAGCAGATCTGAGATGGCAAGGCTGAAGAGGTAGTAATTGGTTGGGGTCTTCATGTTCCGGTGCTTGAGGATTACCAAGCAAACTAAGAAGTTACCTACCACCCCAACAACAAAGATCAGGGTGTACACCAAAGCCATAGGTAAGAACAGATGGCTCCGTCTGGGCCCACATAGGAAGGCTAAGTAATCCTCTGTGCTGTTTAAGTACCTCCTAAAATGTTCTTCATGTAGAGCAAGGTGATTAAACCAGGAGATATTACTGGTCCAGGCCATTACTTGATCTGATGAAACGTCTCACGGCTGAGATCTGTTCTTCAAGTTTCTCTGTGCTAGTTTGTTCACTTTTTGCAGAGAGGAAAGAGCTGGGGGGGAAGAGTTGTCTTGCCAGACCTAGATGCGCAAAGCCACTGAGAGATGAGAGTGAATGTGTTTGCCTGGCTTCAGTTAAGGTTTTGCTGTTGTAACAGCTGTTCCCCTGCAAGGAGTCCCTTAGCCAGAAAGCCCCTCCTTTCACACATATTCATTGGCTCACTAAGTGCGTTAGATTACAGAGTAAGAAGAGAGGTTCCAGCTACTTGTCTCACTCCTGTAGCAGATGCATTTACAGAATAGGAAATGTAAGGTTTAGAGAGCTGGGAATCTGAAATAATAGGATGTGAGACTAGCTGCAAGTTGTTTGTAGTTCTCAGAGGGCTGGAAACCAGACAAAATAACCCCCAAAACTCCAAAAAGCTTTTACAAAATTATATCGATGCTATATCTAGTTATGAGAAAATCAAAAGAAAAGCACCCCAAAATCTAGCATGATTGTATTTTTCAGATCTCTGCTGATTTTCTGGTTTTTACAGCAGCAAGTACTTGGAAGCAGAGTTTTAATAGAGGAAAGCCAACCTTTTTTTGTAGTTATTCGTGTGGAATTAGGCTGCTACAATATTTCACCTTTTTTTTAAACACTGTATTTTTTTTTTCTCTTGAAGTCTGATTTAGGATTGCATTTGCTTTTATTGATATAAACATATTTTCCCATTTTCCTGGTATGATGGAATCTGATCCCATATTCTTAGTTACCCTTGTTTTGGGATTATTTCTGAGCACTGTATTATTTCAAAGACATATTTATTGCCTCCAGGACTAGAATGACATGCATTTTTATAAAATCTTTATTTTTTTCTGGAATTACAACCATTCTGCAAACGTAACTTCTGAGCCAAGAAAATGTATCCTGCAAGGATGATAGCTGCGTCAAAATACATCATTTAGCTCCTTATGAATGCTTGATTCCTTACTGAATTTCTCTAAACCAAAAAGCTTCCATGTGCATGCATATAATTTTCTGAACATTTTTCATGTCCATGCATATAATTTGACTGTTTGGAATCGAAGAGGTGCAAAAGCTGAGGGCTAGTTTATAGGATTTTTATCAGCTTGATGTGCCAGTTGTCTACCCAATATCTCTCACTGTCACTTTTGAGTACTTTCCCAGTCCCCTCCTTGAAGCCATTTAAGCTTCTTACATCCCTAACAGCAGATTGAAAGGTTTTATTGGATTGGTAAGCAGCAAGCAAGCTCATTTGACCTATTTCTCCCTTCATTAACAATTCATTTTAAAGAATTTCCTTGCATTTGAACAATGTTGAATTTGATTTTGAGCTATTATCTGGGTAAGAGGTAGGAACAGAGGAAACACTAGTAGAGTACCTTGCTGCCACTCAGATTTACTGTTTCAGAGCACAGTAGGAGACAAGTATTTGAGAAACTGTGCAGGACTAAATACTTTCTGTACCTCTGCTTAACTTGCAGTGTTTTTCTCTCTGTAATTTCTCAATATTTCAGTTCTTTCCATTTTTCCTTTTTCTTCCCTGAGTAAGTTCTGCCTTAGTCTGTTTAAGGGACAGCTGCAGTTCTGTCTATACTGCATCATAACTGAAGTGAGTAAACACTTCTAAAGTACCTACCAAATTGGTTTTCACTTTTCTTCTTACACATTAACCTCTGTAAATAAATTTTAAAGGAAACTTGAGGTTTATTCTGCTTTAAATCAATCTTTAAGAAAAGGAAACCAAAATGGATTTATGTACTAAAAAGGCAACAGGGCATCCACACACACCATGATCTCTATGAGAGGAAAGCAATGGGTTGTGTAGAAACACATCAGGTTACTTGAAAGCATGGATGTGCTAGACAACCTATGTCTACTTCCACTTGTTCTTCCTTCCCAGTCCTTTTAGATCCTTTTGGCCTTGTGTGCCAAAAACATGTAAGAATAGATGTCCAGAAGAAAAACAGGTCTGTTTGTCTAACAGGCCACCCCTAGAAGCATGTTGGTATGAGACGATTAAGTGGCAAATGGAGAGCACAAGGACAGTGGAAATTATATTTCACTTCATTTCTTGAAGTTTTATTTGGTGTTCTTTATGATATCTGTCCCAGTAAGGGTAGCAGAGTGTATCTAATCAGAACTAGGTCTTGCTCTGCATGACTGGAAATATTTTATTTTTACAACTGAGACAGAAAATAAAAACAGATTTTCCTTTAGAAAGTTAGCATTAAAGTATTTGCTACTTTTTATTAAAAGGACACTTCATTGGTGCTAGCTGTTATATGCTTGAGGGAAGATGATATGCTGCATGCTAGCCTTAGAATTGTGCAGTTTTATGTAATAGTAATGTAATTAATGTAATGTAATATTTCCATTAATGTAGTCTAATATTTGGTCACATTAATCCAGACAAGTTTTTTTGGCATGGTAAGTGCCCCTACTACTTAGAGTGTGCTGTTATCTCCTTAGACACTGACAATGCCCTTACACTGGTGGCCTCTATTTTACCACATTTACATTGTAGAATCTTTCCCTTAGCTGATGTAATGTGTTACAGCCCATTCCTGTGTTCCATTAAGGGCAGCAAAGTGCACATTCAAGAGGTGGATTCAAGCGCCTCCATATTTGCCAAAGCTCTTGCAAGGGCACCTATTAGCAACTATATATTAGGTCAGTACATGGTGAATAATTTTACATTTTAGGGAAAATTGGACACACTCATCAAAAGAGAACAGTGAAGGTAATCTAGAGTATAGCAAATGGATAAATGTACCACTGATCATGTTCACAGAGGCATGTACTTTGAAGAACTATGGGCTATTATGATGGTGTACTTTGAATACTTGCTTATCTTAGAATATAGCATTTTATTCATGCAGAACAAGCCTTTTTTGATATTTATCTATGTGGTGAGACGAGTTTTCTCATCCAGCTTCTTATGCTCTGGTTGTAGAACTGGAAGTAATATAGCTGTGATAATGCCATGGTGTGCCATGTTGATTAATTCTGTTAATTAGCTGAGACACAATATTTCACTGATGTGTCCACTTGGCACCCAGTACTTGAGCTGACATCTCTTGAGTAACCCTACATGGGATGTGGCTCAGGGCCTGCAAAGAAGTGCTGTAATGCTTACTGTACACACCCTTAGAAAGTCATCCTATTTTGGACTGGTTTGAAGAGGTATCTGGTTTACTTTGCAAGCAGGTCTACTATTTTTCATCTTCAGCAATTACAACTTGGCCTTTCATTTCTAACTTCCTTTTGCAGTCATCAGATGCTGTTGTTTCAGTGGTTTCACCCTTTCCTCAATCTGTAGATACTGAAGGTAGGTGCAAAAGCCTTTTAGAAACTTTATGTGAGGGGACTGCTATCCACCCTGTCAGAACTTGCTTTACCTACTTCTTTCCTGGAGGCTTTAAGATCTGCCCATGGAGCCACACTACTTTCACAATTGCAAGTTCAAACACTGTTTTAAATCTTTGAGAACTTGGCAGTACCAAGTATTTCAGTTCTATTGGGATGCACAGAAAGGGATGCAAATAAAGCACAGAGCTGTTAAGCAGAAATACTAAGCCATGCTATGCTGAAGATGTTATCACAATTGCTAGAACTATATAGCCCTGCTCCCCTTATAAATAACTGACCTACAATTATAGATCATGCATTTGACTTTCTCTTTTCTCCTTTGAAAAGTTTTTTGTTTGCTACAGCAGCTGAAAAGTAAGTCCTTGTTTTTCTAAGTATACTCAGTACAACATTCAATATACCATCAAATGCATAGCTATATTTTGTGTGGTTTCTCTCCCCCCAGGCTGGAGGTGTGAGCTGCACTATAATAAATGTTAGATCTGAAGTAGCCTTTCCATGCCTCATTGTAAGTAATTTTGCAATTATCTAGGCTCTTCACACACAGCTTTTCGACGGCTGTGCATACCTGAAGTCCCCAGGATCTCAATCAACACAGCCAATAAGTGGATTTCATGGCTACGGTACAAAACACCGAAGAGGGCACCTCTGCCTGGAGCAGCTGGCAGCCTATGCAGCCTGTACAGACATGGACCAGTTCAAGAGTGGCTAACTTTAGTCATTAAAATCAACAAATGAGTCCACACAGATTTTCAGGCTCCTACTTTAGTCAATAATGGCAAGAGGAACCTCCAGAAAGGGATTTGCCCTAATCCATAGCACAAAGTAAGAGACAGAAAATGGAGGAGCTTGTTTTTTCCTATTGTCTGCAGAGGAAAAGTGGATAATAAAGTATAACAAGCTTGTTAAACAGCTGAGATGAATTTAGACCTCAATTTTGTGCATTCTTATCCATCTTCCTGCAACTATGACTGGTCTTTAGAGGAGGCCCTGTACAGGCTTTGTCTCCGAGAAGCTGCTGGGACAGCTGAAAACACCCAGGTAGCGAGACAGCAGGTGAAAAGTGAGGACAGCCCAGTGCTAAAATTCACTCCCTATTTCTCTCTCAGTTAGCCAGGTGGATGCACCTATTAACATGTCTTTCAGCAATGGGTTGCTTTGTTAGTGTTGATTCTGGAAATTAGTGGGAATTATGTTCTTTCTCTTCAGTAAGTGTTTTTTGTTGTGTGTGTGTGTGTGTGTGTGCTCATGCTTTGAATAGGAAGTGAGTGGGTGGCAGGTAAAAAAGCAGTTCAAGCTTGATGTGCTGGAGAACAGCAAAAAGGGCTCAAAAAGAACAGTGATATGGAAAAACTTGTCATACTGAATGCATCCATCATGACAAAGTGACTTGGATTTACACAGAGGAAGATGAAAAGATTGTTGTGGCAGAAAATGTATTGAAGTCACAAGCACAGTACAGAATGAGTCAGACTGTCTGAGTCAGGAGGGATCTGGTAGTGCAGGACTCAGATGTACTCAGGAAGAATCAAATTATTCAGCATCTCTCTATGGCTTTTTGCATCTTGTTACAGTATTGATACTTCTCTCCTTGTGGTGCATGTGTTTCTTGGGAGAGCTCAACTCACTTGATTATCTGACACAATAGACACTTAACTTGTTTCCCTGACATGACTTACCAGTATTACTTTTCAGTGCACATCCATTTGGCTTCAGTTCTACACCCTGGGATTTGGGCAAA